TGATAGGAAATGTCAGATCTTAAATGTCATTGTAATTTAAAAGGAAGGTGATGCAACAATAAGGATCAATTTTGGTGTCTTATATAAGCTTTTTTTTAATTAGTGTTTGGTGTCTAATGTTGCAGAGAAAAAATATATGTTTTAGTATATACTTTATTGGCCTATAAATGTATAAATATTTACCATGTAAATCATATAAAACAGAGAAGGTGATTTCTTTATTTGGTGGGGTCCCCAGATAGTGCTTATCCTGTGCGGATAGGGCTTATTTCTAAGAGCCCTTTTATGGGGCCAAAATGGTAGCTTTAATATTTGCAAATGTGTGTGGAGAGTTGTGTGTCTGTATCTCGATTTGTGTGTGTGCAGTGGGATTTGAAAATGTGTAAATAAATCTGTAAATGTGTGAGGAGATTTGTGTGTCTGTACAACAATCTGCAAATGTGTAAAACTACTTGTGTGTAATCCGATTTGCAAATGTGTAAAAAATCCACAAATCTGTATTCAGATCTGCAAATGTGTACTGAGATTTGCAAATGTGTAAAAAATCCACAAATCTGTATTCAGATCCACAAATGTGTACTGAGACTTGCAAATGTGTAGATCAATCTGTAAGCACACACAGAGACACTTGTGTCTGAAGTATTTTCGCTTCAAGACCCAGAAATACAGACAAATCATTGGTTACAAGTCTCTTTACACACGTGATTTTTGCTACTCTTCTGCCGGGTGAGATGCACAAATGCGTAGAAGGATTTGTATGTGTATTTTTGCAATTTGTAACCCCTTGCGCAGGCTCGCAGGCTCACATGCTGCCCTGACCGCAGGCTCGCAGGCTCACAGACAGCCTCTACCTTTTTTTTCCTCCGCTGCGGGAGTTGACGTGACAATGATGATATATTGATACCATTCAGTCAGAAAAAATTTAATCTATTATCAAAGAAAAGGTTACGGAAAGAGGGCAGAAGCTGTGGGAAGAGCATAGAACTGGAAGGTGGCTTTATAGTATTCAAAGGAAAATTGGTGCAATGAGGAGAACGGAAAGGAATAGAAAAGAGGTTTATATCTAGATTAAGTTTCGAAAACACGGGGTTAAATGGAAACTTATTTAGAATGGGAACAGGAGGTTGTGGTTTTTGTTATCAAGGGGAGATGGTGGAGCATGTTTTGTTATAAATATTTTATGGAGAGAAGGGAATTATTAAGTTGGTTGCAAGAAAATAAATTACAGTTAAATATACAAGATATTTTGGGGAAAAAATCTACTCCTGATTATTTTTGTAATTTGATAAACAATTTTGAAAAAAAACGAAATTGATAGAAAGGATATAAGTTTATTTATGTAAATATTGTTAATATTTATTTTTATTTTTCAGTGGAAAAATACATAGCATCCCGATCCACACTCCACTGAAGTACATGGCGGTAATGTATGTGGCTGTATGTGAAGCAAGTTGTGCTGAACTGTTGCAGCAGAGAGAGGCTGTCTGTGAGCCTGCGAGCCTGCGTTCAGGGCAGCATGTGAGCCTGCGAGCCTGCGCAAGGGGTTACAAATCGCGAAAATATACAAATCCTTCTACGCATTTGTGCATCTCACGCGGCAGAAGAGTAGCAAAAATCACGTGTGTAAAGAGACTTGTAACCAATGATTTGTCTGTATTTCTGGGTCTTGAAGCGAAAATACTTCAGACACAAGTGTCTCTGTGTGTGCTTACAGATTGATCTACACATTTTCAAGTCTCAGTACACATTTGCAGATCTGAATACAGATTTGTGGATTTTTTACACATTTGCAAATCTCAGTACACATTTGCAGATCTGAATACAGATTTGTGGATTTTTTACACATTTGCAAAACGGATTACACACAAGTAGTTTTACACATTTGCAGATTGTTGTACAGACACACAAATCTCCTCACACATTTACAGATTTATTTACACATTTTCAAATCCCACTGCACACACACAAATCGAGATACAGACACACAACTCTCCACACACATTTGCAAATATTAAAGCTACCATTTTGGCCCCATACCCTTTAGAGGTTAAGTCTTAGTTTTGTATTGCACTCAACAATTTTCCTCATTATCCTTAAAATTACGGCCTTGTTACTTTTCCTTCATGATAAATAAGACACAGTTTTATACTTTTGTTCTCTTTTTTTATTTATGTTTTTTTCAAAGTTGAGAAATTATTGTGGAAAATAAGAGAAACAAACTGACATATGCTGTATTATTGTTCATTTCCAGAGACACAATATTTGTGCTCTGGGCTCCAAATGATTAGCTGATCTTACCTTTTACATAAAATAATTTCAAAGGCATTTTTGCAGCATCAGGCTCAATGCTGGATGTTAAAACCATATTTTTTTATGAATGTAGAGTGAAATTATCAATACGAAAGACCTATAAAAGAACAACTAATGAATTCTGTTAGCTTCTTATTCCATTAATGGAAAATATGTCCAGGTAAGATAAAAATAAGCCCCACCGTATTCCCGCTCCAGTCCAATAGGTGGCGATAGCGTGCCCTTTATCATCTTGTCTGCCAGCATCCCAGTAGTTCAGCATGGTAAATCATGTGGTAAACGCCTGCCACTCGGGACTTCAGATTAGTTCTGTGAATGTTTTCATTTCAGCCTAGGAGAGAGGGTTTGTCAACAACAAGTTAACCCACACTGAAGAAAAAGTCACAGCATTTGAAGAAAACGACTTAAAGGCTGATAAAGAGATGGACGATGAGCGCAGACGGATGGATTTTGCCCCGAAACCCAAAGTAGTTTTAAACCGAGCAGGTAAGAAACGGAAGCTGTGGTTTATGAATGAAATAGTTTAGGGTAGTGTTTCTCAAGCTTTTTTTGACTTGTATATCGCTTTGTGTATTTTATTTCACCATAAGTTCCCATCTCAGTCATAAGTATTGATGACTGTCCAAAAGTGGAATGAACAATAATTAATCATAAAATCTAAAAAAAAAAAAAATAAATAAATAAATAAATAAATAAATTATTAACTCAATCTTTTAATTTGAGCTAGCACTTCTTACGCATTTGATGCTTTTCATCTAAAAAAAAGAAAAAAAAAAAGAAAAAACATAAATATGCCAGGAAGTCAGTAAATAATCGAAATAAATACAGAAAATCATATTATAAACCTGTATTTATAAATCTGGAGCTCCTCTGAGTAACTCCCTTGTAATCACAATTAAACTTGGTGAACTGAGAAGAAAACACAAATTATAGTCAGGCTGACTTACTTTTACTTTGTTTTCATCAAGACACCTGAGCTGAGAAAAACAGCTGATCCCAGGCTGTTCCCTACATTCTTCTTTAAGCCTGTTGCCTATGATCCCTGACGTCAAACGTCAAACGTGTCCATGTTAAATGAGTCCAACCGACAGATCTCTATTTATTCACTGGGGGGGGTTGCTGATTGTCTGTTGGGTTGTTTTTTTTGTTTTTTTGTTTTTTTTGAAAAATAAAGAATATCAATGACAATCTCAAAAATACGTCAATAATGAACATTACAAGAAACAAGAAACAAATACTCCTATTAACTCCAATAAAAATTAGAGGCTAGAACAAGGAAGAGGAAGGGGGGGTATATATATATATATATATATATATATATATATATATATATATATATATATATATATTAAGGAGGGGGGACTAACTGAAATTATTCCAATAATTCAGACAATTTATTTGCTTTAAGGTTCTGCGTCTTTTTCAGACATCGGGAGGAAAGTTCGTTTTTGAGAGCAGAGAATGAGAGGGAGCATTTTGCATAACAACATTTATGGATATAATATATGGTTATAATCCTCAAAGTATTAACTAAGAATTCCACCTTTTTTCATTAATATATAAACCAAACGGAATTATTTGTAAGGAATTAAAGTCCACATTTATAGATCTAGAAGATAGAAGGATCTGAAGTTGATCCCATAGGTTTCTTACTCTTTATATTCATTTAACATATGATTAATAGTTTCAAATTGACTTGTACAGAAACCACAATTCCCAACATTGAATTAAAATCTCTCTCTTAAGTGCTCATTTGAAGGATATATGTCATTTATTATTTTAAATTTTAATTCTTTATATTTAGGAGGAATTGGGAAATTCAAAAATTTGTCCTAATTTTGGTTATCGTAGATTTGTTAAAATGTTGTAAGAGAAATGTACGTTTAGTTCCACCAGGGTACATATTATGTATAGAATATTGATTCAAGAACCTATTGGTGCATTTATTATCTCTAATGTCCACATGCTCAATTTGAAGCTTATGGAGTCTCGGAATAAAGAAATCAGATATACTGTTTTTAACTGACATAAGAAGAACATTAGGTATACTACGTAAAACTTTATTGTAAGTTGTTAATGCACAATATATCATCTTTCTTTTTCCCCCTTCTAGACCTTCATGGCGTCACTTTGAAGATAGAAGATCCAGGTGACCAGTTGCTCTGTGACCAAGAGGGGATCCATTTGGCGAAAGAACAACCCCTGCAGATTAAAGATGAGCAAGGGGAACAAGGACATAAGCAGATAAAGGTTGAACACAAAGAGCGAGAACATCTGCAGATAAAATGGGAACAAGAGGAACAAGACTGTCAGGGGATAAAGGCAGAGCAGGAGGAGCGAGAACATCAGCAGCTAAAGGGGGAGAAGGAGGAGCGAGAATGTCAGCAGATAAAGGGGGAGCAGAACAAACTCCACATTAGTCAGAGTGTATTAAAACAGGAAACTGATACCATGACAGGGATTCTTATAAATAAGGAAGAATCCCACTCTGAACCAGAACTAAAAGGGAACAAAATCCTTTCTCATGAATCCCATAATGCAGATATCCATTATCATGAAAACTCTGGTTCAAAGAGCCAGGGAAAGCAAACTAAAAACAAAAAAAGGAAGCAGACATCAAGAAATAAAACTCACCATCAGTATAGCCCAAAACCAAAAGGTTGCGAGAATGCTCACAAGAATATGTTTTCTTGTAACAGTCTTTTGACTAAACACATGGAAATTCACACGAGCGAGGAACCCTGTATGATCTCTGTTAAAATGAGAACTTGCACGGGTAAGAAGGTGCTCTCATGTGATCTTTGTGGAAAGACTTTCAGTCATAAAGGTAATCTAACTAATCACAAGAAAACTCACTCTGGTTCATTTGCATGCTCAACATGTGGATTGGAATGTGGTCATAAAACCTCTCTAACCGTTCACATGAAAACTCACACAGATGGGAGTCCTCTTGCATGTGACCTTTGTGGAAAATGTTTCACTCGAAAAGAGACTTTAATTGTTCACATCAGGTCTCACACTGGTAGTAAGCCTTTCTCATGTGGGACCTGTGGCATTGGTTTTATTCGTAGACCTGCTTTAACTGCTCACATGAGGACACACACAGGTGAGAGGCCTTACTCATGTGAGGTTTGTGGAAAAGGCTTTTTTATAAAGTGTGGGCTAAAACATCATCTAAAAATTCACATGGAAAAGAAGCCATTCCTGTGTGGGGTTTGCGGGAAAAGTTTTACTCAGAATTGGAAGCTAAGAGAACACAAAAGAACTCACACAGGTGAGAGGCCTTACTCGTGCGAGGTTTGCGGAAGAGGATTCTCTTCGAGTAATGCGCTAAACGGTCACTTGAAAACTCACACAGGTGAGAAGCCTTTTTGGTGCAAGGTTTGTGAAAAGGGGTTTGTTCGAAAGGGTGTGCTAAAGGATCACCTGAAAACTCACACAGGTGAGAGACCTTTCCTATGTAGAGTTTGTGGAAAAGGGTTTATTCGAAAAACTAGGCTTACTGAACATGAGAGAACTCACACAGATGAGAAGCTGCCGTACACGTGCATGATTTGCAGAAAAGGATTCTCTTCAACGACTGGGCTAAAATACCATTTAACTACTCACACAGGTCAAAAGCCTTTCTGTTGTGAGGTCTGTGGACAAGAATTTGCTCTGAAAAAATACCTAACTGATCACAAGAGAAATCACACGAGCGAGAAGCCTTTCCTCTGTGGGGTTTGTGGAAAAGGGTTTATTAGGAGAACCAGGCTAAATGAACATGAGAGAACTCACACGGGTGAGAAGCCTTACTTGTGTAAGGTTTGCGGAAGAGGATTTGCTATATCTTCTGGGCTAAAATATCACTTAAGAACTCACACGGGTGAGAGGCCTTTCCGGTGTGAGGTTTGTGGAAAACGGTTCATTCGAAAGAGTGCGTTAAATGTTCACAAGAAAATTCACTCCGAAGAGAAGTCTGTGTGACGGTGTTGGTGCCTAAAAAAATCACTTCTCTATATACAGTAAATCTCCGATATATTAAAAAACTCAAAGAACTGTTGCTTCTATCTACTTTTGTGTAAAGTTTTTGTAACTCTTTGGTGAATGTGTTCTCCATTTGAGAAATATTACTTGACTTTCTATCATTCCAACCCACAAAATAAGTAATAAAAGCGTTTGATTAATGCTGATGGGGTATCGGAGTAATGTTGATATTAGTCAATACTTAAAACTGCAATATTGGTATGGCATCAGAAAATACAAAGTTGTATCAGGACACCCCTGATATATGTATGTTGTTTATATTTACAAGGAACAGCAAATGAGCCACCTTTGAAGCTATTAAGCTTGTAATTGGAGTAAAATTAGCACCCTAGGAATTAGGGCTGGACCATAATTCAAAAGTCAGTGGTCAGTTCAAAGAACCATTTAATGCCAATGTTTTTGTTTTTTCCATGTACACAGTTTTAAACACCAAGTTTATTTTGTTTTCCAAATCTGATCTGAAAGCTTAGCTTTCTACAGGTTATTTAGCAGCCATAGCTGTCATGATCGGTATACGAATGTGACCCAATAATGCAGAACACCACGACACAGGAAACAGATGAAAAGTTAACAGAGTTTATTGAATACAATGTTAATGTAGTGTTCAGGTTCTGGTCCTGGGAAAGCGGGTTCACCGGAGTCTGTGAGGAAGACAGTTTGGTTAATTGGACACTTAGAGGGTTGTTCTTGGATTGCTTCTGGTTTGTACCTTGAGGGTCCTTGAATTGAGCTTGGAGAGGAAGGATGTTGGAACTGGAGAGAGTCTGACTTGCAGAGTCCGTTAGCTGCTTCAGCGTCTTGCTTCTAGGTAGGTAGCTGACCTTGAGTTTGGGTTTCCAGCTCTCATGTCCAGAGCTGCATGGGAACTCGAGGAAGTCTTCAGGTTTGGCTCTGAGGGCAGGCTCGGCGGGTTAAGCTCTACCAGAGCTTCACGGAGGAAGATCAGGTTTTCCTGGAAAGACAGAGACAAGATTAGGATCCTGTCAGGATCTCAGAGTAAGCAAAGTTCTCAGAGGTTCTGGGCTTAGGTGCTAACCAACTGGCTCAACACTGCGGCGTTGAGGCAAGGTCTGAAGACAGCTTAAGTAGTGGGTCCTCCTGATGATGGTAACGAGCAGCAGCTGTGCAGAGGGCTCTGCTCAGGAGGATCCACGGCGGACTCTGCTGGAGAAGAGAGGTACTTCTCCAGCTTCCAACAGTACCCCCCCCCCCCCCAACGACCGCCCCTTGGCGGTCCGGAGGAAGTAGATGGGCAGGAACGCTCGTACTCCTCGATCAGGGAAGGATCGAGGATGTAAGAGCCGGGAACCCACTGACGGTCTTCAGGTCCGTAGCCCTCCCAGTCGACGAGGTACTGCCAGCCGCGACCTCGCCGACGGGAGTCCACGATGCGACGGACGGTAAATGCAGGATGGCCATCGACTTCCAGGGCGGGTGGTGGGGAGTCGGATGGCGGGCACAGAGGGCTAGAGACTACGGGCTTGACCTGAGAGACATGAAAGGTGGGATGGATGCGTAGACTCGGAGGTAGCTGGAGACGGACTGCGGAGGGACTGATGACCTGGGAAACCTTAAACGGACCGATGAATCTGGGAGACAGTTTCCGAGACATTCCCTTGAGGGGAATGTCCCGGGTAGACAGCCATACCTCTTGTCCGATGGTGTACTCAGGAGCGGGACGTCTCTTAGAGTCGGCAAAACGTTTGGTGGTCTCTGATGATCTGTTGAGGGTGGTGATGGTTTCCTTCCAAATCTTTTGACAGCGGCGGATGTGTTGGTTGATGGTCCTGACTGCTATCTCCTTTTCATCAGCGGGAAAAAGTGGTGGTTGGTATCCATGACTGACCTGAAATGGTGACTGGCCGGTGGAAGCAGATCTCTGGGAGTTATGGGCGTACTCGATCCAAGGGAGATACAGGCTCCAGTCGGTGGGGTTGTTGGAAGTCAGGCAGCGGAGGGTGGATTCAAGGTGCTGATTCATGCGCTCTGTCTGGCCGTTGGATTGTGGATGATAACCTGAAGTCAAAGCAGACTTACAGCCCAGAGCTGAACAGAAGGCTTTCCAAACTTGTGAGATAAATTGAGGACCACGGTCTGATAGGATTTCCTGGGGAATGCCATGTAATCTGAAGACGTGTTTCACGAGAAGCTGAGCAGTCTGGAACGCCGAGGGGAGCTTCCTGAGAGGGACTAAATGACAGGACTTGGAAAAACGGTCAACGATGGTGAGTATTGTGGACATACCTCGAGAGACGGGGAGACCAGTGACGAAATCTATGGCAATGTGGGACCATGGACGTGAAGGGATCGGAAGAGGTTGTAGCAGACCAGAGGGTGGCAGATGCGAGGCCTTGTTTCTAGCACAAATGGGGCAGGCCAGCACATATTCCCTTACGTCCCTGTGGAGAGTGGGCCACCAGAAGCGTCTGGTGATGAGAGCGATGGTTCTACTGACTCCAGGGTGGGCCGAGAATTTGGCTGTGTGCATCCATTGAATGAGCCTGGACCTGACGGAAGACGGAACATAAGTTCTGTTAGCCGGACCGTTACCTGGGTCGGGTTCCGTGGCCAGGGCGGAGTTAATGAGATCGGAGATTTCCCAGTTCACGACTCCCACAGTACAAGAGGCCGGGAGGACTGGCTCTGGTGTCTCGGGTTGATCGACGGAGTATAGGCGCGAGAGGGAGTCTGGTTTCACATTCTTTGATCCGGGTCTGTAGGAGATAACGAGATTAAATCTGGAGAAGAAAATGGACCACCTGGATTGACGAGGGTTGGCCTGTTTGGCAGACTGGATGCTAGCAAGGTTCTTGTGATCTGTCCAGACTAGAACCGGGTGCTCAGCTCCCTCTAACCAGTGTCTCCACTCCTCCAACACCAATTTGATGGCTAATAGTTCTCGATCTCCAACACCGTAGTTCTGTTCTGCTGATGACAGTCTGCGAGAGAAAAAGGCACATGGATGAATCTTTTGATCTGAGTCGAGTCTCTGGGAAAGGACGGCTCCAACGCCAGAATCCGAAGCATCGACCTCCAGGATGAACTGTTTAGAAGGGTCAGGCTGGATTAACACCGGTGCTCTGGAAAACAAAGATTTCAGTTTGTCAAAAGCAGACTGAGCTTCGGGAGTCCATTGAAAATTCCTCTTAACCGAAGTCAAAGAGGTCAGAGGTTGAGCCGTCTGGCTATAATTTCTAATGAAACGAGGGTAAAAATTGGCGAACCCCAAAAACCTTTGAAGCTGTTTTCGAGTTTCAGGAATCGGCCAGTCCAATACCGCCTTTATCTTGTCCTCAGCAGGCTTAACCTGCCCGCCCTCGAGCACAAACCCCAAAAAGGTCACTGATGGTTTGTGGAACTCACATTTTTCTGCCTTGACGAATAACTTGTTCTCCAGAAGCCTCTGTAACACCAGGCGGACATGTTTCTTGTGATCAGTTAAGTTCCGTGAATAAATGAGTATGTCGTCTATATAGAGAAAGACAAACACATTTAAAAAAATCTCTGAGATCATCATTCACTAGTGCTTGAAAGCAGGCGGGGGCGTTTGTTAAACCAAACGGCATCACCAGGTACTCGAACTGACCTAATGGTGTCTTGAAAGCAGTCTTCCATTCATCACCTTCTCTGATTCTGAGGAGATGATATGCGTTTCTCAGATCCAGTTTGGTGAAGACTGTTGCCCCCTGAACAGGTTCAAAAGCTGAGGCTAGGAGAGGTAGAGGGTACTTATTCTTTATAGTGATTTGGTTCAACCCTCTGTAGTCAATGCATGGTCTTAATGAACCATCCTTCTTGCCAACAAAAAAGAAACCAGCACCCGAAGGAGAAGAGGACGGGCGAATAATTCCAGCAGCTAAAGACTCGTTAATATACTTCTCCATTGTCTCTCGTTCTGGTTTGGAGATGTTATATAAACGGCTGCTGGGTAACGGTGCTCCAGGTAACAACTCAATTGCACAGTCATATGGTCTATGTGGTGGAAGGGACATAGCACTGACCTTACTGAAGACCGGGGCCAAGTCATGGTACTCAAAGGGAACTGAAGATAGGTCAGGAGAGTCCATCTCTCCCCCCCCTCTAGGAGGCCCCACCACGGGGGCTGCCGACCGAAGACAAGTCTCATGGCATGACGTAGACCATGCCTCCACGTGACGTTCAGTCCAATTAATGCTTGGATTGTGTTTCTCCAGCCATTCGAATCCGAGCACCAACGGGGAACATGCGGAGGGAATGACAAAAAATTTGATAGTTTCACGATGGTTACCTGAGAGGAGGAGCTCGAGGGGTTGAGTTTGAGTAACTTGGTGGAGATCTTTCCCATCAATGGCAGAGACACGGAGAGGTTGAGAAAGGGGAACAGTTTCAATCATCAACTGTTGAACAAGGTTAGAGTCTATGAGGTTCCGTTCACAGCCTGAGTCAATAAAGGCAGAAAAGGAGAGGTTCTGATTATCACAAAACAAAGTGGCAGGAAGCATCAATCGAGGAGATTTCTTAGAGTTGGTTTGGCCCGCCAGACTCCTCAGATCCTCTGGCGGGCCCTGCCTTTTGATTTAGCCGGACAGGAAGCAATGAAATGTCCACTTTCACCACAATAGATGCAAAGTCTGCTCAAAAAACGTCTTTGTCTCTCCTCAGGAGTAAGCCGAGTGTGTCCCACCTGCATAGGTTCGACCTCCACACCATCAGAATGTGAAGCCTGAAAAGGCAGAGGGAGGGACTGGGCTCTTGGTCGCTCTGAGGGAGGAGAAGAAACAGTCATAGTATTTGAAGCAGATGTAGAGGCATGAGACCCAGAATTTCTTAACTTGGAGCTGCTTCTGGCTCTAATTCTGTTGTCCAATCTAATTGTCAGTTTGATTAGATCCTCAAGGGAGGCTGGCTCGTCGAGAGTTGCCAGTTCGTCTTTAATATTCTCATTTAAGGCCATGAAATAAGCTCCCTTCAGAGCACTTTGATTCCATCCGGAAGCTGCTGCCTTAACCCGGAAGTTGATCGAAAAATCAGCCACAGATGAGTTTCCCTGCTTAATACTGAAAAGAGCACGAGAGTCAATTGTTTGATCAGTTTCCTGATTAAAAACCTGGGAGAATTCAGAAATGAAATCAGAGTATCGGCAGTTGAGACTTTCATCTGAGGGAAATCTGGCCTGGGCCCACTCCAAAGCTCTTCCTGTTAGTTGAGAGAGAATAAAGGTTATTTTCTTAAAGTCCGTCGAAAAGCTGTTTGGAGAGTTCTGGAACAATAATCTGCACTGAAATAAAAATCCTCTGCAATCCTTCATACTACCAGATAATTTCTCAGGAAGGCTTGGGCGGAACTCTGATGACGTCACTGCTGGTGACCTCGGAGGGGGAACTGGACCCGGAAAAGGTTGCGCTGCCGGTGTGGCGTTAGCACTGTTCATGAAATTAGCATAGCTCTGAAGCTTTTGATTGTTAGTTTCCACGAGACAGTATAACTCACGGAGAGTCTGAGCTTGTCCATTAATTTGTGCATCTTGCTCCTCCAATCGACGGCGGATGTGTTCTGCTGGGCCTTGTGTTTGGCCGCAGTGTTCTGTCATGATCGGTACACGAATGTGACCCAATAATGCAGAACACCACGACACAGGAAACAGATGAAAAGTTAACAGAGTTTATTGAATACAATGTTAATGTAGTGTTCAGGTTCTGGTCCTGGGAAAGCGGGTTCACCGGAGTCTGTGAGGAAGACAGTTTGGTTAATTGGACTCTTAGAGGGTTGTTCTTGGATTGCTTCTGGTTTGTACCTTGAGGGTCCTTGAATTGAGCTTGGAGAGGAAGGATGTTGGAACTGGAGAGAGTCTGACTTGCAGAGTCCGTTAGCTGCTTCAGCGTCTTGCTTCTAGGTAGGTAGCTGACCTTGAGTTTGGGTTTCCAGCTCTCATGTCCAGAGCTGCATGGGAACTCGAGGAAGTCTTCAGGTTTGGCTCTGAGGGCAGGCTCGGCGGGTTAAGCTCTACCAGAGCTTCACGGAGGAAGATCAGGTTTTCCTGGAAAGACAGAGACAAGATTAGGATCCTGTCAGGATCTCAGAGTAAGCAAAGTTCTCAGAGGTTCTGGGCTTAGGTGCTAACCAACTGGCTCAACACTGCAGCGTTGAGGCAAGGTCTGAAGACAGCTTAAGTAGTGGGTCCTCCTGATGATGGTAACGAGCAGCAGCTGTGCAGAGGGCTCTGCTCAGGAGGATCCACGGCAGACTCTGCTGGAGAAGAGAGGTACTTCTCCAGCTTCCAACAATAGCATGCTAATGTTTTTGAACCAGAAACACTTCACTTCTGTTTAAAGTTTATGTAACCCACTGGCTGATAATAAATGGTTCAGTTGTTCTCTTACCTATTTTTGTTGTCTTTTATTCTATGTTAGAGTAATCTCACTTGATCAAACCTTAATGAATTGTATTATTACAAGATGAGGAATAAAAGTAAGCATGATTTTTACTGATATTGTATCGAATCTATATAGGTATTAGTCAATAATCAAATCTGCAATATAGGTATCACATGGGAAATGGGAAGAGTTGTATCAAGATATACTTTATTCCATAACTGGTTTAAACACAAATAAATAGCGTTGCTTTTATGGTCAACTCATTACACATCATTGCATAAATATGACAGAATAGTCCTTCAAAGTGAGTTTCCTGGTGTTTAAACAAATAAATTCTTTATATGCATAGTGAGGGTGTCTCAACAAAGCTAAATGGTAAGGAGCAGGATTTCCTTGATAAACTCGAAGTTTCCTATATCTTTTACATCCAATCGGACCTATAATCACACTTGTAAGAGCATCTTTTAATTCTCCTCTTGTAATGAAAAAAAAAAAAAACTACACTGATTTTTCTTTGAGATTCACCTCTCCCTGCTGCAGCCAGTAGCCAAATAAACCTCCCCACAGCCTTTTGAAGACACTTAAAACAATAAGAAGAAGATGACCATTTAACCCTTCATAGCGCAAATTACCTTTTTGGATTACCTGCATACCCCTTACAAATTGAGTCCCCCCCCTGTAAATTAAGTTTGAAAAAAAGTCAAGAAAAAGGTAAAATGTTAAAAAGTAAATTAAAAAAAATTATAACCCTAGTTAACAATTATATTTAGGTTTAAAAACTAAAAAATGTCAGTTCCAGTATCAGCATGAATGCCTCTAAGGTTATGTTGTACCAAATAAATGTTTTTTTTTCAAATAGATATTTTTCTTAATATATTCGGGCAAGCTGGCGTTTCTTGTTATTACATTGACATTCTTTTTTACCATCAAAATATCCATATTTTTTTTAATTTACAAAGGTATAAGGTATTTTCCTGGATTCCAATAACACTATTGGATTGAAATGTTGATTTTCAAAGTATTTCACCGAGTGCCCTATAAAGAGTTGAGCCTGTAATGAAAAATGTATCTATAATCAGAATATTGTTTAGATATTTTAGGAAATAATATTCTATAATGTATATTAAAAAACACAGCTATTATTATTATTATTTTTATTATTATTATTTATACTTTTCCTTTTAACTCGTATTATTTTTGTCCAGTAGGGGGCGGTACGCTCCATCACAGTTTGTTTTCCATCCTCTTCTGAACGAAAACCGGAAGCGGGGCAGTACTGCTTCCGTAAAAGAAAAGAAAATCAGAAAATGGACGAGATATGAAGTTGAGAAATGTCATTGCGGCAGTAGCTTTTTTTCCCGAGACAGTTATTTACCGACCAGCACACAGCTGTTGCGTTTTAAAAAATAAATAAATTAATTTCTTTCTTGATCAACATTCCAACAAAGCGATGGTGACGCACTAGTTAGTTACACCCTAACACACGTTAAAGAAGAGGACTACAACTATGATCAGAGCAGCTTTTATTTTTCCTCAGATCATCCTGGAGAAACGCATTTGGGCTGTAAATACATAGAGGATACCATGGAAAGAATGGCGGTTACTCCTGCTGAAGAAACATTTACTGACTTTGAAAAGGCTGAAGAAGAAACGGATGATCAGAGCAGACTGCCAGATTTCAGACGGACACCCCAGATAATATTACACCGAATAGGTATGAAACACCCTCAGTAAAAACCAGTACTGGAGATGAGGAAGGATGACATCCTCCTTCTTAAAAAAAAATCTTAAAAATCATCCCCCCATACCATCCCCTGTGACATTTTATTACTGAATGTGTAACATTTCTACTCTATATTAACAGTCAATATGACACAACATGTCATATGTAGCAAGTAGCAAGCCATCTTTTATCAGAATATGTCAGCAGATAGATACATTTTACACTAGAAACACCACAAAGACAGACATCAATGTCTTCAAAGCTGCTGTAATGAAAAATCATGAAAAAATCATTGAAAAAAAATCAGTCAACTTACATGCAAACAATGGGAATGTAACTAAAGTTTTATTTCTCAACATGTCTGCTGTGTGGAAACATTTTTCATTTCTAGCTTAGAATTGATTAAATTAAAACGATTCAAAAAGCATAAAGAAGAGGAAGCAAAATAAAATCAAATGATTAGAAATACTTATTATTTCGGTTAAAACATTTCTTAAATGGCATAGATGTTCACCCTTTATGGGTATCTCTCTTTGACTGGATAAACAAGTTTGCTTGCTTCTGGTATGATTTTATTCACCCTTTTAATAACTTTTACTGTTTTTCTGTCTCACTTTCCTGACCTTATATTCTCAAGCTGCCTTTTAGGATGTATGCAGCACATTAACCTTCCTGCACAGAGGAATTTATTGCAGCCTCTTTAAAAAAAAAAAAAAAGAAACAGCAATATGAAGATAATAAAATGAAAGCAAATAAAGCTCTGGTTTCAGAATAGTTTCAGCAGAAAATCCAGTTCAGTTTAAGCTACACAACATTTTCCTTTACAGTTTTTGAAAATTATAGTAGAAAAAGGCTCTCTTAAGCTCTATTTTGACCCTTATTTTCTTTCTTTCCATTTTCCATTTCAGACTTCCCTTTAAAGGATGTTGTAAAAGAAGAGATTACTGAAGAAGAGCATATTTTTAACTTAAAAAGCAGCTGTTGTTTAAAACAGGAAGAAGGAGGACAGCTGAGCAGAAAGGGAGAGCAAGAAGAGCTGGAATATCAGGAGATAAAAGTTGAGCAAGAGGAGTTTGCATTTCATCAGATAAAAGAAGAGCAAAGTGAGGAAGTACATCAAAGGATAAAACACGAGGAGATTAAAGATGAGCCGGATGAAATGTCTCCTCACCATGAAGACAAAGTACTTTGGGAGATAAATGAGGATCAGGAAAAGCTTCAACAACAGCTGATAAAAGAAGAACTGGACAGCGAAGATAAAGATCATGTTGTAGTGAAGCTGGAGACTGATATCTTCTTGGTGACTCCTATGAGCGATCAAAAATACCAACAAGAATTCAGTAGAGAGCTACTTACCTCCCAGCCCCAGGATCACAAAGGGAAGAATCATAAATACTTAGGATCAAAAAGAGATAAAGAGTTGAAGCAAAATAAGAGGTGTTTGAAATCTAGACAGCCAAATGTCAGCGCTGATTGTACAAAACAAAATGGGCCCCAAACAACTCAGGATCAACATTCGTATTCTTGTGGGATGTGTGATAAAAGGTTTATTGAAAACAGCTTATTGACTGAACATTTAAAAAATCACACAAGCGAGAGGCCTTTTTCATGTGAGATCTGTGGAAAAGGTTTTAGCCAACCAGGGCATGTAACTGTTCACATGAGGACTCACACAGGTGAGAAGCCTTTCTCCTGTAAGATTTGTGGAAACACTTTCAGTCAAAAAAGCTCTTTAATTATTCACTTCAGAGTTCACCGGGATGCAAAACCTTTCTCGTGTGATATTTGTGGAAGACCTTTCAGTCAAAAAAGCTCTTTAATTCTTCACATGACCTCTCACCCTGGTTGGAGGCCTTTCTCATGTGAGGTCTGTGGAAAAGGCTTCTGGAGAAAAAGCTCCCTACCCGTTCACATGAGAACTCACACAGGGGAAAAGCCTTTTCTGTGCAATCTTTGCGGAAAAGGTTTCAGACAAAAAAGTTATTTGGCTGCACACATGAGAGCTCACACGGGTGAGAGGCCTTTTTCATGTGAGGTTTGTGAAAAGGGGTTTACTCGAAAGTGCCATTTATCTGATCACATGAGGATTCACACAGGCGAGAAGCCTTTCTCCTGTGTGACCTGTGGAAAGAGTTACAGAATAAAATGGCACCTAACAAAACACATCACAACTCACAATGATCAGGACTCTTGGGTACAACCTGTGGAAGAAGATGAAGCCATGAAAACTGATTAAATTTAAACAAATTTGACAGTAATTGTATCAAACCTATGATTTTTGTCTTAACATATAATTTATTAAATTAAGAGAACTTCGCAAAATGGAAAGATTCTTTATTTGTTTCCAAAAAATGTCTGATTTATTCCCTAACTATACTTTAAGAAATAATATGTAAGAATTCCTATAAATCACCCAAAAAAGCATCATTTCTGTCAACAAGCAAGAACGTATTTTAATATCCTGTCCAGGGAAACAATAGCTGTGTGGTTTCTGAGGCTCTTTGGTTCTTTCAGTCGGCACCAACCCTCAAAAGCTGGACTGGTGTTCATCATTATCATTCTGCTAAAGCGCGGAGAAGAAGCCGTTTCTGAGCCCTATTATGGAGCTACGATATGTGGAGCTACTATATGTGGCAACATATAGTATGCCTGAGCTACTACAGCCTACTTTTCCTTTTTATACAGTCTTTTTGATCTAAAGTTGGAATTGTAATCAAAATAAATATATATTTTGGACCTGTCAAATGTATAAAACAATTATTCATAAACTACATATCTTGCAGTAAAATTAATACCTTTTTTCCAAACCAGTGTAGATGTTCTGTGGATATATTATAGTTAAAAAAAAGTTAGAAGATTTGATAAAAACGTATCTATGACCTTATAATATCTTATTTCCCTGTCAGCACAAACAGAGGCTACGCTGGCAGATATGAGCCCCTTGGAAAGAGTGGAGAAATTTCAGTTTTGTACCTTTCCTTATGATACATTTTGTTCTCAAAATGAAGTCTTGAATTTATTTTAAAAAAAAGTGAAAATACATTTTTTTAATTACTTCTATTTATTTATTTTACTTTTGTGTCCTTCAACAATGCAGATATCAGTAATCCATCTTCTAATGTTTATCACGAGTTTTAACATTAGGCTGGAAAGATTCACTACCCTCTACAGCCACCAGAGGGAGTCATTTCGTCTGACTGGTATACTTAATGATAAATATAAAGATTATGTGCGCTTGTGCTTCTTACTTTAATATTTCTGAGTAGTAATAAGGACTTCACGGCAATAATAAAATGCAATAATAAAAGCTAAGTCAGTACAACAATATTAAACCCTAATCCACTTTGAAAGTTTAAATAAAAACTGACCAAGAATTACCAGCAGAATCGTTTGCCAGTAACATAATGAGGAAGGCACATAACTTTTGATAATACACTTATGTCAATTAATAAAAATAACTCATACAAATTTTGATGTTTTGTACAGTGCTGTTAAGAGTGATCCTTTGTTATTAGAGGAAATGCCAAAAGTGACCCTTGTATTATTATTTCAATATTGCAAACAAAACTGCATTTAAAGGCACAGTGATCAGGATTAACATGTTGGTTAACATTTTTTATAAAAATAGAAAAAATACATTTCAGAAATGAAAAAAAATATATAAATTAAACTGATTTCAGACCTAATTTCTGAATTATTAAAAAAATATATTATTTTATATTATCTATTCTTAATTCCTTTGCCAAATTTAAAGGTACCAGCTCACTTAAACAAGAGAGCTTAAAAAGACCTGGTATCAAGGAAAATTGATACCGGGTAATTTTTTTTTTAAGCCATAAAAATGTAATCAGCATCAGTCCATCAACAACAGTGGTGAGAGATATATTTTAAAAGCGCTGTAAAAAAAAAAAAAAAAAAAATATTCTTGATCTCGTGAAAGGAAACAAATGTATTGATGCCATCTAAAAAAAAATCACATGAACAAAAAAATGCTGAGTGCTCAAACACAGCAAATTTAGAATATAGGATGTAATATATAGGTATTTCAAACAATGAGAAAACATGCAACACTATGGTGTGATAAATATAATATTATAGAATCTGTCCAGTTTATGTTAATTGAAATATCAGCAATAAGTAATAGTAAGACCTCTTCAACATTGATGTAACTGATTCTCAATATTTTCCTCATGAAACAATACAATTCTGGAGATTATATGCTTAAAACAAAAGTTGAAATTAGTAAAAAAAAAAAAAAAAAAAAACACCTTTGTCTGTGATTTTTTTTATCTACTCATTCCGGTCCAGTAGGTGGCGCTGTGCTCACTTACAGATTCTAATCCGCCACTAAAATGGAGAGAAGAAAATGCTTGAGATTAGACAGTTGAATGGAAGGCGTTATTATTAGAGTTTTAGGGGATGTATTCTGTGGATTTTGTTGTAAGTCCACCTTTAGTTCAACCTTAAACAGTTTAACAACAAATAAAAAACAGCTCCTTTCAGTCTCGAAGCAATAAGCGGGAAGCTAAACCGCGTCAAAGGAGAGGAAAAGGATTACAGCAGCGGATTAGGACGGGCTGCCTGGATGCAACATTAGCAGCTTCTCCGCCTCAATTCACCCTACAGACTCATCTAGGCTTCGTAGATGAAACGGCAGGAAGAATGTCTTCAGTTCAGTCCCAGACAGATTTAATCGACGCGCAGTTGCGTCCAACTGCAAACAGTTTCACGGACACTCAAGGAATCTTTATCAAGGCCGAAGAAAACATTGATGATCAGAGCAGAATGCTCGATTCCTCCTGGAGCCCCAAGATGATCTCACAGCAATATGGTATGAAACACTCCTACAATTATCAAAGAACACCTGGATGCGGTTTAATGTGATGCTTTTATAAGCATTATTAATTACGGAGACCCAGTGTGTTGATTAAAAAATAATAACGGTCCACTTGAAATAAACTGTTTTAAAGTCTGAATCCTGTGAGATTCACACTTGAAATAAACTGTTTTAAAGTCTGAATCCTGTGAGATTCAGACTTCCCTTTTATTAATGAATAAAAAAAATAAAAAAGAGAGATTCAGACCTCCAGGTTCAAAACGTCCTAAACAAAGCTCATTACCAGTGGCGTAGCTATAAAATTTTTATAAGGGTGGCCAGGGACAGGCGCCAGAACCTCAGCATCAATCTGTACACTGGTTCAACAGGAAAAAGAAGAAGCACAATGTCCATATTCGCTAAATAAACACTAAATATACTTTCCTGCAGTCTTTTTCTAACAAATAGACGTATATATTTCAACATCCATGCTTTCTAGATTAAAGGTGCAGTGGAAACAATTCTTTCAGATTTGAGTTCTGGGGCGAACATCTTTTCCATTGTCATAACTTACCTACTTTTATCAATAATCATTATGCATTAAATTAACATTTACAAGTACTAATATCTACATAAATTGACTATTTTATACGTTTTTCCAAACTTGTTTGTGAAAAGTGAAAAAGTGAAGCCTCAATCGAGCAAGCAGACGCGACACAGTGGGGACACAGCAGACATGCATGATCTGCATTATCTTCATTGAACAAACTATATTTGCAGCGTTGTCTGTAACAACTACAGGGTGTTTTCTGGTCAGCATCCATTTGTTAATGTCTTCAGTCAACCTATTAGCTATATTTGCAGCTGTCTGGCTTGAAGTAATCTTGAGTGCATCTTTCCTGCTCATGTGAATGTGAACATCATGCGCGTCACTATAAAGTGAATCGATCTCATACCCTAGACATCGATTTAGCAAAAATGTAAAGGAATCGATTCAAAATCGATTAAATCGATTTTTTTACCCAGCCCTAGTTTTTACTATAATAGTTATCTATGATTTTACTGAAGACTCCTAGATGACTTGCAGAGACACATCATCAAAATCTAGTTCTGAAAAGAGCATGAATTCTGTACTTATCATCTTTAATATTAGCACATTGATGTGCATAATTAACAAAAGCGTTTTTGTTGTCAAGTAATTGTTAATGTATGAAAAATTTAAATGTTTTGAATTTTCCAATTGAGAATTTTACTGCTGCAACCATCTGTATTAGAAGGGAAAAATGGTAGGGCTGGCCTTAGGGGTGGACAATGTTTGGCTAAAGGGGGCCATGGCCACCCCTGGCCCCCCATCTAGCTCCGGCCCTGCTCATTGCTTGTTGAAATTGGGAGGAAAACTGAATACTCAATCGTTTGAATAAAAAATGTCCTGTTTAATTCCGCTTGCCAGTATTTCTGTATCATAAGAGATCAAACCTGTAAATGTCAAATTAACAGGGCTTGGATATATTTAAGCGATGCGCAATTGAATAAATTGAATTGCATAAAGCTTTACTGTCTTTCATTTAGGCAATTCATTTGCAGCAAGTAAAGAAAGATTTACAGTAGCAGAAAAATGTTGGTATATAAATTGAGCATGAATAATTGTGATGAAATACAACAGACCATCTAAAATAAAGGGGGAAACTGCAATTAAAAGCTGGGGTCAAAAAGGCTTATTAAATGGGCTTGGATCAGCAGTGGTTATAAAGTCTTAACAGCTAATGTAAGTAGAGCAGTAGTCTTATTGCTGAATGAGACTTCTATGACTATTGTGGCATCAGCCATCTTTTATGGAGCCTTCTGTTGGACCTGTGGCTTATCTGTAGCTGAGAGAAAGGCGCTGGATAAGCTGATCAGGAACGCCAGCTCTGTGAATGGATGCCCTCCGGACTCAGTGCAGGAGCATCATTAGCACCATTAGATAACAGCTACTCAGTCAAGATGCTGGGAGGAAGGATCTGTGATAACGCTCGCTGGTGCATTTAGGGTGCAGCAGTCTGTCACTGAAGGAGCTCTCCAGTTCTGCAACAGCTTCATGTATGGGGTGGGAGTCATTATCCAACAGAGATGTTAATTTAGTTAGGATCCTTTGTTTCCCACCTCCTGCACTGAGTCCAGAGGGCATCCAATCACAGAGCTGGCCTTCCTGATCAGCTTATCCAGCCGCTTTCTCTCAGCTACATATAAGGCACTGCTCCAACACACAGCTCCATAGAAGATGGCTGATTCCACAACAGAGTCACAAAAGCCCCATTTACACTACCTTCTGAAAACCGATCTGTGCTTAGATTGGATCAATTAATCGTGTTGAGCTCGGTTCCTTAAGATCATTTACACATCACGCTAGCATGGTTCCTCACCTCCTAGTGACGATCTACAGTACTACTGCTCTCTAGAGGTAAACAAGCAAACCAACATGGCGGCGCCCGTAACATTCAAGAAGTTATGTTTTGTTAGAATTTGCAATATTTCGTTGTCTGTGGAGAGTCAGGAGAAGGAGGCAGCCCTGAATTTACTTGACAGGGTCTGCTTTTGGGAAGTGAATACGACAAACAATAGTAGGGAAACTAGTATTTTCATGAATGTCTGAAGTTTCATGATTAAAGAGGCTGACTGTAAGGAGATGATGCGGTCTACTCATGTGCTCTTTGTAATCTGAGAACCAGGCCAGAACCGAACCATGCCAAGCCCTACTGTTGAACTAGTGCCACTTTAGCGTGGTTCGTTGTGTCTGGCACAATCCGGTTCAGTTGTGCCTGCCACACACTCAACAGTTATCTCAGTTCACATGAGAATTCTCGGTTATCTCGGCAAAGTTTGAAAAGGGTAGTGTAAATGGGGCTCATGTCAAATCCACTGAACGGCGTGAGAACTTCTGACCTGAAGTACATTCAGGAAAATAGGCTACAGGCCTAAAGATGAATCAGTACTGAACTACTGAGGTGTCACTCTGCTTATCAAACAATGTTTTAAATAAAAAGTGTCAAATAAAAAGTCTATTTTAAAGATATTTTTCAGTAAAAATATACAAAATGTCTCTAAAAGTGGCCAACAGTCAAAGGTTTGACCAAAGGCTTGTCTGAGTTTGTCACGTCATACAACCTTTTAATGAACTTTTACATTTTTACGATTTACAACCCATATAAAATGCCTAATCTTTT